TGTCTCAGCTTTCATTCCCACCCAAACTTGACGGCTGTGGGTCACATTTCACGATGAACGAATGTCGTCTTCTCCTGCACCCATACGGCGATCCGCCGTTTCTAAAGCCGACATTGACGATCACCATTACCAATAAACTCATCTCAACCCCACAAGCAATGCCTAAGCATTGGATAAGGCGTCGGAGTTTGTTTTGGTGATGAATCGATACCACCCATTTCTAGGGTTTCGACAGATCGAGGGTGAATTGAGGTGTTTCCTGGCCGAATTAGACTTTGGCTTAGGTATAAAAGTTGTTCCTCTCATTGTGATCTACATTTCTGTAAAATTTGGGAATTTTTGGAGTTGTTGAATTTTTCGGTGAGTTGGGGTTGACGATCGCAGCGTGCGGCGGCGCATTGGGCGAAACCCGAGGTCCATCCTTAGGTTTTTCGACGTGCCGAATCCAAAGTTCATCCTTAGGTTTAAGTATAGTTTTACTAAATGGTCCCTAATTGTGGATAGGTGCATCGATGGAAAGTGATTCCATCCTCGCTAGCTCGAGCGATTCCCAGGCAACAAAATATTTGTGCGTGGACCCTTTCTAAACTTACATATTTTTATAAAATATTAGCCTAGCATGCATTTCGGACTTCATGATTTGAATATGTTTTATATATTGTTTTCCAAATTTCTATATTTACGGTTTACGAGATAGTTATGATTTATATTATGGTTTACAAATATGAGTTATTAATTATGGGATTTTCATATTTGGAATTCTATGGATTTACAAATGTGAATTATCATGGATTTATGTGTTAAGACTTTGAGCTTTCGAGCTCCAGATTTGATATGAGATTTTCGAGATATGTTTTCGGTACTATCTAGTGGGCTATCATACAACACATTCACACAACAAGGGTGTTACGATGTCTATGGTCATAGGACACATTTGATGAGTGAGATGAGATATTATGATATACCCCCAGCTTCACTGTCGAAAGCAGTGTCGGACAGCTTCACTAGCCACGGCTAGTGTATGTGTGTGATGTTATATGTTTCTTCTGCTTCACCTTCGGGTGATAGACAGGTACTGCCTTTGGACGACTATGATACCCCTAAAGAGTACAATATTGGTGAGATTTATGGATTTGCCTTCGAGCAATGATTGCACCGTTATTGAGCATGGTTTTACTCATATTTGTTTTACGAATTATTTCATGGCATGCTAGGGTTTCAGAAAAACCTATTATGTAGTATTATATATATATCCGAGTTTTCAAAACAGGGAGTTAGTATGTTCATAAAGAAAATGGTTTTCTTATTATTAGTATTATTATTATAAAGGGTAAATTACATAGTAGCCCCTCAGGTTTGAGGTCTGTTGCAATCTTATACAACATCTTTAAAACTTTTCACTTTCATACCTCAAGTACTATTTTATTTCAATTTCATACAACCGTTACATTTTCCATCCATGGATCTGTTAAATGCTGACGTGGCTGCCAAATGTCTGTCACGTGGCAAATAAAATAATTTTTTTTTTTTTAAAAACATGTCTGCCACTTTTTTTTTTTTTCTTCTTCTTCTTCTTCCTCCTCCTCCTCCTTCTTCTTCTCTTCCTCCTCCTCCTTCTTCTTCTTCTCTTCTTCTTCTTCCTCCTTCTTCTTCTGGGTTCGGTCCCTTTTTTTTTTTTCTTCTTCTTCTTCTTCTTCCTCCTCCTCCTCTTTCTTCTTCTCTTCCTCCTTCTTTTTCTTCCTCTTTCTTCTTCTGGGTTCGGTCCCTTTCTCTTTTTTTCTTCTTCTTCTTCTTCTTCCTCCTCCTCATCTTTCTTCTTCTCTTCTTCTTCTTCCTCCTTCTTCTTCTGGGTTGCAGGGGTTCGGTCCCTTTTTTTTTTCTTCCAATTTCAGGTTTTTTAAAAAAAATTAAAAAATTATTTTATTTGCCATGTGGCAGACATTTGGCAGCCACATGGCATATATGTGGCAGCCAAGTCAGCATTTAACAGATTCATGGATGGAAAACAGATCCATGGATGGAAAATGTAACGGTTGTATGAAATTGAAATAAAATAGTACTTGAGGTATGAAAGTGAAATGTTTTAAAGATGTTGTATAAGATTGCAAATAGACCTCAAACCTGAGGGGCTACTATGTAATTTACCCTATTATAAACTTTGGTCCATTCACCTTTTATGTTTTGCACCCCCTCAGGAGTTAGAATCGAGACACACGATCCTAGCATCAGGGCACTTCCGCTCAGGTGTCTTCGAGCTTCCTCTGTGTAGTTCCATTCCTCGATTCGTACCTTTCCATAATAATTCTTTCTCATTATTTTTGATTAGTTGTATACTCTGAACACGTCTTTGCATTAGTGTATTCCTTTCTAATCACATCTTTTAAGTTGCATGCGTGTTTAAAATGGCTTCGTCACCCTCGGGCGTAGGCCAGCACGTGCCTACCCTGATATTTGGGGATATTGGGGTTGAGGCGTGTCAGAAAAACACTTCATATCTAATAACTAAGAGAATTGAGTTGATAATGTTGAAATGATTTTACAATTAAGAGTCAATTAGAGTACAAATAGGTGGGGGAAAAAAAGGCTTATTAATTTATTTGCCCCCTAAAACTGCCATTTAGTCTCACTTTATCCTCTAAAACTGGTTTTATCTCACTTTGCCGCATGAAACTACTATTTTTGTCTCATTAGATTCATACCCTACTTTCGTCAATTCAGTCAAATAAACGTTAAATTAAAAGGTAGTATGCACAATTTGTTGCCTCCAACTTGCATGCTAAAACCACCCCAATTCCATTTTCGATAACTCTAATTCAAACCCCCGTCTGTCTCTCTTGCGAATTGGTAGAATTGTAGATGCAGCCTTTGGCAAAAACAAATAATGGGTTGTGTTTCAAAATCCAATTCAAGCCACTTGTTGAATCCAACAGAATGGATGAAAAGGGATGGACTGAGATTAAATGAGACGAAAAATGGCAATTTTAAAGGACAAAGTGAGACAAAACCAGTTACAAGAAATAAAGTGAGACTAAATAGCAGTTTCTAAGGGCAAATAAATTATTATGCCAAAAAATATGTTTTTTTTTTCCCATTGAACTTTTAAAGTAATTTTGTGCAAAACTTATAGTAGTTAGGTGTTTTCGTAATTTTTATAATTTATTACTATTTAAGTTAGAGGCTCAGGTGATGGTCATGTGCTAGGTAGATGCGCACTAAGAAGTAAGGACCTGGCTTCTCTGCCCTGCCAGGTCCTATGTACTCTCATCCCCTCCTATTTATGCGGTTACGGTTATGTCACGTTAATATTTTATAGCATTATTGCTTTTTGTCTTATTATCTCTATAAAAAAATTAATATAAATTATTGACGTGATTTAACCGCGATCACATAAAATAGAAAGGGATGGAAATGTATGGGAATGGGAGGACATAGAAGACAAGTCCAAGAAGTAATGCATTGGGACCATTTATTTACGAATTGGGTAGAAAAAGGTTTCTCAACTTATTGTTTTCAAGTTTCAATTACTTCAAGGAACCGTAGAAGTCAAGCTATGGTAGATATGAACTTTATTTCGGTGAGTCATCCGCTTGAACAGAAAAACTTACATGCAACTAAAATACTAACGTAATGGAATGTATGTTATCAGATGCTTTAACTTATCAATGACTATCTTAACGTCTTAATTGTCTGCAAATTCGACCACCTTATAATGTGGACCTTGCCAACCTTTTTTTATTAAAGGGATCAATTGGTGATTTCATCACGACAGTCCACCTTTTAGGGGTAGGTAAGACTCGCCAAGAATCAAATTCAAAACTTGTTATGTGGAATACAAACCTGTAATTTATTCCCTGGCGATGGTTTGACATTGCCATCCCTTTACCCATGTGTTTTATCGAGAATTCTTGCAATGCCAAATCATGTGTTGGAGAATAACTTTCACGACTAGTAATAGTTTAGCTTTTCGACCAGGTCCCCCCAAAAAAGCACAAACCATGGCCCGTTACTTACAACTTACAGCTCTCACTCCTCAATGACGACTGAAGGTTGCTAACTACTATGTAAAAGGATCTTCTCCGGATCCCTTTTTCCTAATCTACCAAATCAGGGAATTCTTATCGTTGAAATTTGATCAAACGGCTACAAGCAAGGGCCCACTTTAAAAGTTATAATAACTTCAGCCGTTGGATAAAATTTCAATGACACAGATCCCCTGATTTGATGGATTTGGAGGAAAGGATCCAGAAATGATCATTTCCGATTATATATACCTCTGCCGTCGACTAATTTCTACTTCGTTTTCATGGACTAATGGAAGGGAGATCAATAATGTAGAATGCTAAGTCGCGGCAGGGATTTTGTGTCTCTGCATTTAATTTCAATTCAAAAACGTATGAATTTTTGCTTCTCCTGTACGTATGTAAACACCCTTAACCGATCGAGCCACAAACACCACAATCTCGTTCATATATGTACTAGTGAAGTGGTAATGTTAGATTAGAATTAAAAATGATTAAAATTACAGTCCTAATTATATTGGACTTGGAACAAAACAGACGGTACCCTCTACTAATTTGATTCCAAAACGTCTTAAACAAGAACCAAGTAATTTTATATTGTCACCATTCGTGTCTAAAGCAACCAATTAGACTTTCAAAATAATTTCAATCAAATAAAAAACTTTGTGAGAAGTCCTATCTCAAAGAAAATTTTCAGTGTGTCAGAATACCTGTGTATAATACAAATTATTGTAAATAATTTTGTTAAATATCTAATTATTTATATTATGATATCAGGTGTACCGAGCTGTGTTACCGAGACACTAAAAAAATCTCTTCCTATCCTGTTCGTGATAGTTTTCACCTTGGTTTTCGTAAAACCATAGAAATTAGTTGGAGTTACCATCTCCATAGTCAAGAGGAAGAAGCTGACGTGTAGGAATGGGCATACTACAAACATATAGTAACTAGAAAAGCTTCATCACCACCCAAAAGCTAATAAGAGAGATAGAAGGGAAGAGAGTCACCTCCCAAAATCCCCCCATTGAAAAAATAAAAAAACACAAAAAACTCTCAACTATTTGTTCATATATTCATCCACTCTCTTTCTCCATAGACAAAAGCCAAAATTCCCCTTCCCTTTTATCTCTATAAATCCTTTGAGGAATATCCCATCCCACTCTCTCTGCCTTTTGATCAAAACCCCACTTCTCTGCTCTTTCATTTGATCCATTTTTTGCTGTGTTTGTCTTAAGAAAAAACGTCAAATTCTCTGCAAATTTGTTGACGGATGCAGATGATGGGTTTTCAGGAATCGTGGGTTGCTCCGATATGTAATTCTTCGTTTCCTAGTTGTTGGGTCTCGATCTCTGACGATCATAATGTAGAATTGACAAAGCTTGTTGAGCATGTGATTGTGTTATGTTTCTGCTGGATTCTGTCTCTTTGATTACTTTTGATGTTTGATCAAGTTTTTGTAAATGGTTTTTTTATTTCTCCGATGATTTTCTGATCTGGGTTTGTCAAAAGGGTTGATTTTACAGGACAATTATCTGTAAACCCCTGTTATTTGTATAAAAATATGGAGGTTTGTTTTGCTTGCCTAGGTTATTTTGATCGGGTTAATCTGACCCGTATCAGTAAAAATGAGTTTACGTGGATTAGATTTTGCATTTGATGTCAAAACTCTTTCCTTTTTTTGGTTGTCTTTTGCCGGTGGGAATATCCATTTGTGGAAGACTAGTATTCTTCTCCTCAAAGTTTGCATCTTTTGGTGTTCCTCAAGTTTGCTTTACTATTTTGAGGTTTGGGGTTTCTTTGTTAACCCCTCTTGATTCGGAAAGTCTGAAAATTTTCGGTTTTTGTTCTGATCAAACTGTGATCAAATGATCGGGTTGTGAATTTCTCTGGTTTGTCGAATTTTGCAGATGTTTGATGTTATGACATGTTGATAGGACATAACTTGTTGCATTATTTGTTCTTGCACTTGCTGTCATGTTTTATAGGTATTTTTTTTTTTTTATTTGTAGGTTTTGAGACTTGAAGTTGTTGATCAATAACATAATTATCGAGGTAGATACCACGGCGTAGATTATCCGGTGAATAAAATTAGCAAGAATGTTTGAAAATTTAGATTCTAATGTAATGTTGGATGATTGAGAGGAGTAATTTAGTAATTGTTGTACCGATATTTCGTAATTTCAGCAATTTAGAACTCCTTTGCAAAGCTTGGCCACTGTGAACTTTGGCAGTGCCAAATGGATGCCACTGCAAGCGGAACCCCAACTATACAATACCATAACATTCCTGACCAGCCAATTACCACTATTGTTGCCACTCCTGTACCAACATTTGAAAGGCGGCAACGCCATTGCTTCGGGACCTCCACCCCCGGAGAGTTCCCTTTAGCTGCAAACCCCTCCATTGTCCTCCATGTCCTTACTGCCTGCAATTTGGATCCTCAAGACCTTGCAAAGTTAGAGGCAAGTGGCCCTTTTTTTCCCTACATTTTGGTAATGCAGCGGTGTTTTAAGTTTTTGGATTTATAATGCTGCTGGTTTGTATTTGGGTGTGCGTGTGCGTGTGTGTGTTGCAGGCAACATGTTCCTTTTTTAGGCATCCTGCGCACTTTGCTCCTGACTTTGAATTGTCCATATCGGAGCTTGCTGCTCTGGACATGTGCCGAAAAAGAGCTATATTTAAGCCAATGACAGCCGAACAGCGTCAAGAATTGAAGCAAAGATGTGGGGGTTCATGGAAACTTGTCCTGAGGTTTTTGTTGGCTGGAGAGGCATGTTACCGAAGGGAGAAATCACAGGCAATAGCAGGGCCTGGTCACAGCATTGCTGTGACTTCGAAAGGAACTGTCTACTCATTTGGCTCAAACAGCTCAGGACAGCTCGGACATGGCACAACTGAAGAGGAATGCCGGCCTAGGCCAATCAGGTTGCGAACTCTTGACTACTCCTCTGATCTGATTCTGTAAAATGCAGGAAAAAGGAAAGAGAAATAGTTGATTTGAACGAAAAGTTAATGGAACTCCGTTGTGTTGCAGATCTCTGCAAGGCACTCGAATTATTCACGCGACTACTGGGGCTGGCAGGACAATGCTGATCAGTGACGCTGGGAAAGTTTATGCCTTTGGAAAGGACTCTTTTGGCGAAACTGAGTACGGGGTTCAAGGATCAAATCTTGTTACCACTCCACAGTTGGTTGAGTCTTTGAAAGACATATTTGTGGTACAAGCTGCAATTGCAAATTTCTTCACAGCTGTGTTGTCAAGAGAGGGCAGGGTGTATACATTTTCTTGGGGCAACGATGGCAAACTTGGTCACCAAACTGAGCCAACTGATGTTGAGCCCCATCCTTTATTGGGGGCACTTGAGAATGTACCTGTGGTGCAAATTGCAGCTGGATACTGCTACCTTCTTGCTCTGGCTTGTCAACCTAATGGCATGTAAGGATTATCTGTCTTCATCAGTTTGCCTTGGAAGCATTGAGCATTCTGATTATATCGAACAATCAGCTTTTTCGGAACCAAAAAGAGTTGTTCGAGAATCTTGTTCACAATTTTTGAGAATGTTACTAAAATTAAAAAAATTATTGGGAACCTGTTCAAACTGTTTTTTCCTAAAGCATTTGATATTACTCTGACGTATTCATGTTTGTTCCTTGATAAATCCGAAACAGTTTCTGTTATTGCTGTCTTTACATTAAATCTTTTATGAAAATTATTATTTGCTCATTTGTATGATCTCGAAACCTTTCAGGTCAGTTTACTCTGTTGGCTGTGGCTTGGGTGGGAAGCTTGGACACGGTTCAAGAACTGATGAGAAGCACCCCCGACTTATTGAACAATTTCAGGTTTTGAACCTTCAGCCAATGGTGGTTGCTGCCGGAGCTTGGCATGCTGCTGTGGTGGGGCAGGATGGACGTGTCTGCACCTGGGGTTGGGGCCGTTATGGCTGCTTGGGTCACGGGAATGAAGAATGTGAATCAGTTCCCAAGGTTGTGGAAGCATTGAGCCAGGTGAAGGCGGTGCACGTTGCTACAGGGGATTACACAACCTTTGTGGTTTCAGATGTCGGTGATGTGTACTCATTTGGTTGTGGAGAATCAGCTAGTCTTGGACATAGTACTGCTGCCGATGGACAGGTCTCGTTTATTACCGCTCTATTTCATATTTCATATGGTAATTGAGTTAGTTTCCTAGTTGCAGTAAGGTTGTGCCCCTTGACTCACATTGCAGAAAGTCAATATATGAAATTCATAAATCAGTGCACACGAATTACTTGTTTCAAAATGGTATCAAATTGCTGCACATCATCTTACATCTGTAGAATGACTTCACCATCCTAGAAGAGCTTTGACGCTGTTTTCGTCGTAGATATAACTCACAAACTTCTTGTTGCTGAGTTGTATTATGTAACTGGTTATTTGTTGGCTCCGGTTTGTAGGATGAAAGGTCGTCCAGTTCACCAAGTTTCTGAATCTTGTTTCTTCTGTTGCGTCTCTTGCAGGGAAATAGGCATGCAAATGTGTTGGCACCAGAGCTAGTGACATCGCTGAAGCAAGTGAATGAGCGGGTTGTACAGATCAGTCTCACCAATTCCATATACTGGAACGCCCACACTTTCGCACTAACCGAATCAGGGAAGCTATACGCATTTGGGGCCGGAGACAAAGGGCAACTAGGCATTGAACTTGTTGCCAACCAGACAGAAAGGGGAAAGCCAGAGCTGGTCGATATTGATCTCAGATAGAGTTCATCAATATCTTTGGTATTCCCGGCCGCCATAATGCTCTATCCTCTAATTTATCATCATAACTCATTGCATTTGATGTTTGCATTCCCATGTCTACTGTGTACATAGAAACAAAAAATTGTGAAGTTTAAAGGTTATTAGGTTAATAGGGGCCTAAACCAGATTGCTAAATGGTTGTTTATATCTGAAAATTTGGCTTGCTCTTAGGCTTCAGGTAGTTGTTGATAGCAGATGATACATTTATCAAGGTTTATTTCATGACTCATTTTATCTCAAGATTAAATTTATAATTTATCTGCTGGGGTGAAAGGTGAAAACTGGGGTTAAGTGGCAATTTTCATGCTTCGCTTACCCTTTTTCTTTGAGCATTGTGACAGTTGAGGTGGCTTGAGTTATCTTTTGAGCATTGTCATTGTTAATTGTGGGATCACTGTCCACTTGGATCACTAAACTAAGTATTCAGTAGCGAGCGAGAGAAATTTACATGCAACTGGAATGTCAATGTGTCAATGCACATCATGTTTTTTTTAACATTTTACATAGCATCGCATGTTTAGTTTGAAATATTGGCACCTTGGTGTTCTAGTTGTGTAGTTGCGTGCAAGTTTTCTTAGTGGGAAAGAGAACGGAGAGGTGAGAAATGACTGTCAATTTAAGTATACCAGCCGATCATTCTTGACTCCATCAATTTGGCATTACTAGTTGCTGGATTTGTATGGTTATTATGAATTGGGATGGGAGGTTGGTTTGTGATTTCATGTCCATGATGATGGCTAAAAAACCCACTAAGCGAAGTGCTAAAAATTGGAGGCCCAACCTATCGAGTGGATGCTCTTCTAAGAATTAAGGTTTGGTTTTACCTCTTAGTACTATGGTCACGCAGTTTTTATCTTCACTTGTAAGTGAAAGGTCTTAGGTACGATTTTCGCTAAAGGTGAATTTGAACTACATCATTGCTAGCTTATTGTGAGGAAGCCCACCTCTTCCCTTTTAATGTAGATGGTATCTTCTTTTTTTTTTCTCTTTTTTTTTTAAAGAAAAAAAAAGGTCTGGCTTTACTTACAATAATACAATAATTAATCACATTTTTATAACTAAGCACTTTAATATTATGCTTAGCTCCAGATTTACGCAACAAGGTTCTGACATTGGTTTAAACGTTTAAGAGCTCGTTTAGATGTGTTTTTAAAATGACTGAAAGCGCTTTTAATGAAAATATTTTTAGAACTAATCTTTGATAAAGATGCAAGTAAATAATGGAAAAGCATTTAAGTGCTTACAGGAAGAAGCATGACTTTAAGTGCTTTTAGAACCAAAAAATATTTTCTCTAAAAACATTTTTAATTATTTTAAAAATACATCTAAATGAGCCCTAAAACATTGATGTACATAGGTGAATAGCCAGATGCATTTAAGCTATGGGCGGTGACCTCAACTATTTTTGTTTGGTCAGATGTTTTAGTGTATCGAACCGTATTTTCGGTAAATTAGAAAATCTCTTTGTTTGAAAAATGATTTATGCACTTCTTTTTTCATCACCCCATTTAATAAAGATCCTTCCAACTCTTATTTATATTTTACCATTCAAGGACTGAAACAAAAAAGAATATGGCAAATCGAGTATTTGAATGGCTCATATTTGAGTGGGATTTTCGTTTTAGTGCACATTTGAAACTCCAATCAAGAATTTTATTGTTAAATTGTGAATTGAGTTGCACCCACTTCCAACACTTATTTAAGCTGTTTCTATGAAAATCCCATTTTCTTATATATATATCCATTTTTATAAAATTTTCATTTTCCATTTTTTCTTTGTAAACTCAATCATTTGAACCAATTGAAATTGGATTATCTTCTAATCCAATGTTGGATCGGACTGAAATTTATCTAAATTCAGCCGAACAACACCAAATGATCATAATATCACAGTATGAATAATAAAGTAGTCCTCTAAGAATTTATTTATTTATTTTTTGTTACAGGGGGGCCTAAAGTCCAAGTGGGACCGTCAAACAAAGAAGGGCATTGGTTCAAGGGGCTTACGTTAACATCCCGACTCCTACCAACTTCAGAAATAGCATGATTGAAGGAGAAGGGTCATCCAACACAATAAAATCCAGATTCCTCAAAAAACTCAATTTTGCTAAACCTTCAGCTATCATATTTCTTTCTCTATAAATATGACTTAAATCACATTGATCTAATCGAAAAATCAAGTGATGACCCTATTATTTATCCGTATCTAGAGATTAGAATGAAAGAGGTGATACATTATCTTTTTTTAATAGGATGATACATTCTCATTTTAGTTAAGGGATAAAAAAAAAAACCTAACGAAAAGTTCAAAAAAACTTCATTTTTAATGAAAAACCATTTTTAAAGGTATAGTGAATAGTACCAGCGAAAAGTATAAATGTGGTTTTTCGTTAAAAGTGAACAGTACTGGGAGTGTTTTGTTAAAACTCCCATAAAAAAAAGTATGGAATGGTTATGGTAACAATAATGCAACTATGAATTCTAGTTGGGTGGGAAAAAATATACAATAAAACAAATATCAAGGGGAATATGTTCACATCATTAGTTCCACAACTTATCCAATCATTATTTGATTATTAAATTCTATTAACATATGTTAAGGATACTATCTTGAAAGAGGGCACTCTCTTCAGTTTAACGTTAAGTCCCGTTTCAATGTTACAAAACATTGTGCAAAAAAAAAAAAGAGATGAATGAGAGAGTCCCCTTAAGAGTTCTCAGTTGGAAATCATGACTTGTATAAACGTTATGTATATATTATTGTAATAGGATGAATTACAATTCTCTTAAACGCATGTGTTATAGATCACGAATTGTATATGTCATGTAGGTGGTCGTACCAATCGTATACGACTTCTATGCACGACAAGGTCTCCTTGTACCACAAGAAATGAATGCTTCCAAAAGATATTACTTGTTTAGGGTTTGCTAGGACCCAAAGAAAGGCATAAGCTTCAATAAGATATCATTTGAACTTCAAAGAAGGGGCATATGCTTCAATAAGATATCATTTTATTATCTATTGAAATTTCCAAATAGTAAGGGAAATAGTTTTACTAACCACTTTAAGTAGTGATGAAATGAGTTTAAATTAAAATTTGTCATTGTAAATATATTAACCGTACTTATTTAGTGACAATCAATGTTGTCATGATACTCACCGTTAATTTAGGGTGGTGATTGGTGAGAAAAAATACACCAAATAGTAAGCAAGCAACTTCTTCAGGCAGGGGTGGATGGAAGTAGGGACCAAGGTGGTCACAGGACAACAAGCCCAACAAGCATTCGATGAAATGCCTCAGTGAATAAGTTAATTTTTTTTTTGTGCTACGCGCTCTGTTCCTACTTGTATTTACCATTGGAACCCCTAATGTTCAAACTCTGGATCCGCCGCTGCCTTCAAGCACCCTGTCTTTTGTTTAATTTGTTGTAACAAGCTGTTCTTTTTATTTATTTGTTGCCATGATGAACTTCGCACCAAGTTTGCGAATCCTTATCCATTCTGTCCATGGCGTGTGTGAAAGAATATGTTGGCATGTGATGTGCAGGAGACTTGGTTGTGTTATTTGCAGAATGAAACAACACTAATCATGGAGTTTTGACCCTCAAACTCAGAGAAGCCCTGGTCTTAACGGTGTTTGCCTACAGCTACTAATAAATCATGCACCTTAAGCACTTAAACGAAGACCCAATATTATATCATATTTATATTAATCTATCTTTTTATATTATACAAAGATATATGTACATAGCGGGTGGTAAAATAAATGGAAGTTTTAAAGAAACACTCCCGTTATTGTTCACTTTTAATGAAAAATCACATTTTTTACTTTTCTCTGGTACTATTTACTACACCTTTGTTTGTCATTTTTCATTAAAACTAAAGTTTTTTATGACTTTTCGTTAGTTTTCCTAAAATAAATTAGTATCAAAATCATCATTCACGAAATATATTGTCATATAAAATTTCTCATTTATAAATAAAGAAAAATCGACAAAACAATACTACGTATTATGTAGTTTTTTTTTTTTTTTGAACGATAATATTTACACTAAAAAATCGAATATAAGATTTGTCTCACTTATCCGTAGTATTAAGTGGCACATATTATACGTAGTTATATGTTGAATTATACAAATATCAGTCGTATGGAGTTTCAAACCCCACCAGTTACGTAACCATGGCCAGGCCGTGCATGGGTCAGGATTCACGGGCGGCGTTCGTTTTAACTTTTAACAATGAAATAAAAGTCAGACTCCAGAAGATACAAATGCTAGCTACTGGACAACCCTGCAAAACATAGAAAAATACGAGAGTGATTAATTATTAATAATTATATATTATAATCCATAATTGGACGACCCTGCAATGTTGAGGAAACACATTAATTAAGCATTTTTATTAACTAATAATGTTTGTTTATAAGAATCCGAAGTACCGTACACATCGCTAATCGAATCTCTTACGTACAGTGGAGACTCGATTGGACACAGATAATTTTCGATCGAGCTCCTCCTCTGCTGTTCAATTATTTGGTTGAAATATTGGAAGACAAAGAAGCAAAGCTTTAATTTCCTTCCCCACACATGTTCTTTCCCTGTAGCCTTGAGCAATTCACATGCTTGTTCATGTGTAGACCCGGTTGTAGTACTTTGCATACATTATTTATAGGTATGTGAGTCTTGTGAGACAAGTACATACGAACGTACGTACATACGTAGGAGGATCGATCTTGTTTTCTAGCTAGCTAGACTGTCGGTGATGAAGATCTCAGTTTTATTAAATATGGTAAAATAGTACTAAATTAAATTGTGACAATTTGTTAATGCACTAATATGAGTGTGTGTGTATATACATACATACATACATACACACATACATATATATATATATATATATACATATTCTGCAGACGATGAGGCCTATGTGAATGTATTGCAGATGCGACAAGTTCTGAAAGATGGAGCATAATCTCAATAAGATAAGTATATCAGAAAGTTTTGAAAGAGACTGTTGTCAAAGAGGAACCCTACATAAATAAAGGGGCTGCAATTTGTGAAGACGAACCCTACATAAATAAAGGGGCTACAGTTTGTGAACTTCAAAGGGAGTTAACCCTATCAACCCGCCAAATAAGTTTAGTCCCTGTAGAGCAATTTTTCAGACTATTCTTACGTGGTGTCATAAATTTATTCAAATTATAACATGTTTGATTCTTGTTAATATCTTAAAAATATGAGGCATATCAACATTATTG